CCCGACCCCAAGTCGTCCCCAGGACCCCACTGCGGACGCTCTTTCTCGCCCTCGTCCCTGGCCCCTCTCGACCTCCGGGAGCCTGACAGACCTAATGAGGACCCGGCTTTCCGCTCTGCTTGATGGCGACCTTGACTTCCACTTATCTTTGACCAGAAGTTAAAGCCATCATCAGATCAGAAGTTAGACTCTCACTGCTGGCCAGAGTCTCCTCATTCGAGGATTTAAATGAATCCTCGAATTAAAGCTCTGCTATCTACTCCTCCAAGTGTCTGTGCGATCCAGTGACTCCCTTTAAAAATCCACGTCCTGCTTTTCCCAGCATCATGAGCCAGAAAAATCCACCCGAAGGGTCCTCCAGGAACTACCACGTGAGCAGAGAGCTGTTGCGGGAACCCGACCAATCCTCTCTGTTCTCCGCAAGTCAAATCCAGACACGCCACCCTCTGACCATATAAAATGCCACGTTCCTAGGGAAAGGTCCGCTCAGCCACCACTAGCTTATTCATTATTTATATACAATTAAAGGGCACGGTTCAGATGAATGCAAGCTTCTGAAAAGAGTCATTATTCATGTACAGATCAAGTTGAACAGTTGTCATTTCCCCAGTGACTTAACATACTCTTTGTGCCTTGGGACCTCAAATTAGATTAAGCAGTGTACATGCTTTAACTCTTTTATTTAGTTTAATTGTTGGCCTTCATCAACTTGTTCAGATTTCTTGGACTTGTTCAAAATTAGCCCTCACTTCCCCCTTAATGTATTAAGATAGAAAAGGACGGAAATTTCTTTTTAGGACCTATTGCATCCTAAGGATGAATGCAAATTGTTCTACTATGATTCTTAACGACCCACTGTTAACATAGTAGGAAGCCCAATGCGTTAATGCAATACCTCTTTTCACATCATTACTCCTAATGGAACTGTTACCAGGATAACAGCTTGACCTTTAGCTGTAGATTCAGATAGCAAAAATATATTCTGCTTACTCAATACCTCTGTTCACACGGCATATTGATCCTTTTCAGATCAATGCAATGACAATCTTTTGGCCTTGTTCTAAGGCCTCATCTGCACGTGTAAGAGCATAAGATTTCGTCTTCAATAGATAGAGTCTAGTTAAAAGTCTCTCTAACGTGTGAAGGTAATCCACGAAACAGAGTGTCAATAATAGGCCCAGTGGAAATATTTGTGTAGGTATTTTTCGAGAAGACTGATGCCGTGTTTTCCATGGTCTCAAGATACATACAGATCCAGGAGTCAGAGCCCTCCCTGGCTTCTTTTTATTGAAAAGGAATATGTTTTAACTGAAAGGAGACAAAAAATAACCAGAAATTGTTGCCTTTTTAGTGAGTGACAATATTTGAGTACAAGATTAGATTAGAAAGATCTGATTGGAAGCCCCTCACGGAGTGGGAAAAACATTCCAGAACCTTCCTTCCCCTTGGTTCTACTAAACCTGGTCGTTGACACACACGGCTGGGAGTCATTTTGATGTGGGCATAACCCAAACCTACTTTGTGAACTTGAAACCACTACTTTCCTGTGGATGCTAATTTGGACATCCGCATTTCACAACCTCAGGAAAGAGGAGTTGCTTCTGGAAATTGCTTGTATAAATAATATTACAAGGAGGGGGACGTTTACCTGCTAAGTCATGTCTGTGCACATTTTCATATAAACTAATGGGGTGCTAAATACGAATACTTGTTTCTTTCTATTCATTAAAACAGGGACTTTGAGAACCTTTTGGCAGTTTTCTGATGAGTAAACATTATTGTGGGCATTCGAATGTAATAAAATCTTGTTTCCTTAACTATATTCTATTCATTAAGACTTCCTCCTAACTCACTTAGGCCTTTCTCCCCAATTAGTCTACATTGGTGAACTATGTTATTTGCTTCTGTGAGAAACAAAACTGGAAAATGTTTGTCTATTCGTCAAATGTCTGAGTCCTTCCTCAGTTCAAGGCACTGTCGTTGGTGCTTCGAGGGAGACAAAACGAGTGGAGACCCTGAGATGTCTATAACCTGGTGTGAGAGATTCAAAAGCACGGCCACCCCAGGGGGCCTGTTTCCTCTGCAGGTGTCCCAGGTGGAGCCTGCTCCCTTGCCTGGCCCTGGTATCACAGGCGAGGCAGCCTGCTTGGTATTTTTCCCAGTCTTTAATCCCGCGTCCTAACCATCACGCCCCCTCTCCTCATCTGGGCCTGGGAAGGGTCCTTTCCACTAATGGTCTCATCACAGCTACACATCTTCCTCCAGCTCCCACGTCCACTGCCGTCTTGGATAGCTCCACTGTCCACCGTGCCTTTCGCCCCACCGCGTTTCAGCCCCACCCCAACCACACCACAGCGTTCTCATCTAGGACCGTTCTGCTGCCGCCGTTTACACCCCAGCATTCCACGCTCGATCGCTGTCACTCCGTGGCACCTCCTTGCCAAGCCTGTTGACATTTCTGTTCTCTGGTCTCTATAGATTTTTCCAAGTCAGTGAGCCTCGTTCTGGCTTCACTTCTTTCCCAGATCTGGGCGTGAATAAAGTTGTAACTCATCCCAGGTGGCAGCTTCACCAACATCTTCAAGAGCTTTGTGTCCTTGTCCTTCTGCCAAAACTGAGCAAAATCCTAACCCAAGACCAACCCCACCGTCCGGTGTCTGCACTCCCGAGGAGGGGCTGCCAGGTGCCGTGGAGTGGAGAGCCTGCCCCTGCAGACTGTCGCCCTGCCTGGCACCCTCGCATCCTCAGTCTGCTGCTTTCCCTGCTCCGTTTTCCCCAGAGGCCATTCAGGCTCCCCGCACTCTCCACTGCCCGCACCACTGAGTGCGGTGAGCGCTCAGGACTGACTACTACGACCTACAACCACGTCTCAACCCGCCCCGTCCTCCTTTCTCCTGACGGAGAGGAAGAACTTTCCCCCTTTCCGGGAGCAACCCCTCCATTTCTGTCCTGGCCTGTCACCTCCTGCTCCTGCTCCTCCGGGTGGTTCCTTTGATGGCTTCCTTCCTCGTCTGGGATCCCGTCTGCTCCCACAACACTGCTGCTCCCCGGCCTGTAACCACTCAGCTCCCCCGTCCCTCAGCCCTCCTCCCCTCCCAGCCTCATTTCCTTCCCCCACTGAATCTGATCGTTTTGGAGTGTCCTCTGTGGCCACCACCTTTGATGACCTCCCTTCCTGGACCTTCTTCTGCACAGACTGCGGGTCCCCCCTCTTCATTAGCACCACTCTCTGTCCTTTACTAGACCCCTCCGAGGTCCCCTGGCTGTAGACCACTCCGGGCTCCCTCGGGGATCCTTGGGCCTTAACCTTCCTTTAAACACTGGGGTTCTCTTTGGCTCTGTGATGGGCCCAGCGCTCTGGTCGCTCAGAAAGTTCTCCCTGATCAATGGTTTCTCTCTCATTTTAACCACCACATTTGTGCCCCTCAAACTGGTAACTTCGGTCTGGACTCCTTTCCTGAACTGTATAGGCTTCTGCGGAAATATCTGCTAGCCATCTCCATGTGGGTGCTCCACGGACACCCCATACTCGCTTGTCCCAAACCAAGCCGAATGCATCCCACCTTTCCCCTCACGGACCTTCCCGTCTATATGTACCAGGCCATGTGATTCACCAGAAATGCGTCTTCTACATACTGCTCTGGTCACCCCGCCATCCCCACTAACACGGCCCCAACCCAGAGGATCGCGGTAGCTTCCC